CGAGAAGGGTTTGAGGGCGGTCTAAAATGCCTAACGTTGCTTTCGGATGCCCATCAGAAGAGAAGAGGCAGGCCTGCCAGCTGCCGAGAAGGGTTGGAGGGCGGTCCAAAATGCCTAACAGGCCTCGGACAGGCCACCGAGAGGCCGCGGCCAACCACAATGCACCTGCACACATGCCTTTGGAAGGGCTTGGAAGGGTTCTGCAAGGCTTGGCCAACTGCTTCACCCTGCGGTGTCCCAGGCGCCTCCCCGCCTAGGCTTTGGCTATAGGCCGGGGTCGGCGGATTTTCTGTTGTGGGTGAGTGTTCGTCTCTTCTCAGGAAATATCCAGACCAAGCAGTTGCCTGGGCAGATGCGATTTGTCACAACCATGGCCGGAACAACTATGCTCGAATATTATTTGTGGTCTCGTGGCCTCACAGTTGTTTGCATACCAAGTGCATCAGTTTGAAGATTTGTTTACACTGGCCGTCGAGAGAAATGGATTCTATTCCGGACTTCCTTTGCTTGCATGTTTGTATTGTATAATTAGCGTGTTCGCTGTATTTCACTTGCCAATTGGGCTCACTCTTGCATGTATTGAGGTAAACTCTGATCATGGAGCGCAGACTTTGCTTAACCTGGCTGTCCATGGTATGCACTTTGAGCGCTACATGGCTTCAACATTGGCTGAGGCAGTGGCTACTTTTGGTAACCTTTTCGTAACCACTTCGGAGACGAAGTTGTACAAACCTTGGCCGAACCAAGGGCCCCTTCTGATGATCTATGGGTAGACGTTTCCAGTTGCGGCTTCTTACTTGGGCCTTTCAAGTGCACCTTTGTGCCTTTGTGCCAAGGAGTGCAGTTAACGACACCAACTGAATCCTGGAGATTCGCCACTTTGGATCGCAATCTGTTGCGAAAGTGTCAGCATAACGTTGGTCTATATTGGATGCTTGGCATTCCGACAGCACACGTGGGGGGAGCTTCGAGATGTGGAACCGCTTTGGTTGCCTGGAGTTGCGCAAAGGTTGACATGGTTGCTCCAGGTTGAAAAGCAAAGCGCACGTGAGCGTCCGACAAAACCAATCGAATACTAAAGCAGTGACAGGCTGGTCTTGGGACATTGGACCACATTGGACACCTGCATCAAACCTGCACAAACAACGGCAGCCGACCCATCAACCGATGACCTTTCGATGCACCAACTATGTACTGAAGGAAACATGATGCCATGATATATTTGCACCTGGCACAAGCACTTGGTATGTTAGTTGTTTTTTTCTTCAGTTGTTAGGCAACAGTGGATTTGTTTTGAATCTTGAAGCTGAATTGCAAGAATATGTCGTTGCCCAATGGCAACTTGATGATGGAGTTGCTGCTGGCCTTTGGCTGCGTGCGAGGGGCCACGGCCGTTGTGAAAATGTAGTCAAAAGGTTGTGCTTCTGGTGGGGGTAAGGGTCTTTAGAAAAGCTGCAGCACACATTGAGGATAGCCTTGCCGTTGTGGCCCAAGAGTGGCTCAAGGAGACGTGTTGTTAAACCAACACTAAGTTTCCAACCACTGCAAAGCTTCCGTACCACACTGCCTACGATAACCGATGCACACTTTGACGACAGGTGCTTTAGACATCTTTAGACTATATACCTCTAGCAAGGATTTTGCCGGCCCGCCCGATTTTTACATACGGAGTAAATATACATGTAGGGACTACCTGTGTCATTCAAGGGCTGCCTACAGGTTGCAAGCGGGCTCTGTCAGAGCCGCCACAAGGCACCACTCGCTTTTCGCCACGAGATGCCGCACCACTAATTAACAGACAATCCACTCACCCAACAGGCCTGCCATTTAAACACGGGCCCGGCCCGGCCAAGCTTTTAATAAACGAACGGAAAGTTTTTTATGTTTTTTTGTTCTGGGGACCGACCCATTCTAGGCTATGTCCGTAGGAAACATACTTCGTCCAACGCGCCCGGCACTCACGTCATGTTTCTCAAGGTTGCTTTGCTCTAGCCACGATTCGCTTTGGACATTTTTGGACTCAGGATGGCCAAGCTGAAGTTGCGCACCGGGGCATTGATGCCCAGCACCTTGGTGCTTGGTGGTGAGCGAAGTTTGCAAACCTCAATTGAATGCAAGTAGGCGATATGTAAATAATAAAGGTGCTACAGTGATAGATGTGTTTTTTCTTGGTGAAGTTTGCATGCTCCAGCATGTTATATAAGTTGCTTTATTTTGGAGTACTGTAAGTCGTTTGGAAGATGCCTGGCCTTGCGAGATCTGTGTCTCGATATATAGTTTTTTAAACTTTGTTGTCCCTGCAAACGTGGGGTTGCTGCGACTCACGCGGCACCCGCGAAACCTTTGTTCGCGTAACAGGTTTTACGATGAATATTTAGCCTCAAATTCTTCTAAATGTCCATGTGTCATGTGTATGATTATGTATGACTCTATGACTGCATGACTCATTTAACACTATATGTAAGATTTCTTGCTTCGGAGGGGCTAATGACATCAGAACACTACCTGGAGTCTGGAATAAGCGTGGCCACGGCGATTCAACGCCCAACCAAGAAATCAACACTAAAATGATCGTTTCGTCATTGTTTCGTCCCAGCGTAGGGAAGAAAATATGTAGTTTCGAGTTTGGGCAGGAAGATGTGGGTACATAGTGTGGCCATGGTGTTTCACTTGTCCGGGTGACTTTCAGCGTGCCCTTGCGGCCGGGTGACTTTCTGCGACCCCAGGTGACAAAAACCCAGCACTTGTTTTTGTTGTGGACGTTGGTCATAGTCATTCATTCATATGCCTTTGTATCTTTCAGCTGGTCTTCAACCGGTTATCCAAGCACAGAAGTCCAGCCAGTGCACCCGGTGTAACGACAGGGCGTGATTTCTTGAAGGTTGATTGACGGCAGCCAAGGTGAAGTCGAGGGTTTCTCGGTGCAGATGCAGAAGCAATGGGCACGAGACTTTGCATTGCCCTTTCCGGTCTGGCCACATCAATCCTGGTTCAATCTGGACCTTATCGAGGTGAAAGACAAGCATTGCCGGAGATAGCTGGAGCACATGTTGCTTGTACTCGACAACTAATGACAACTACAGTGTGTGGATAACGAATGTTTTGTGCTGCTGCGCCACACAACACGCCATCGAAAGGCCAAAGCAGAGCTCCTCAAGGGCTTGTTTGCGCTACTGCACGTGCCCACCAGGCCAAGCTTCTCATTGCAATAGCATGAAGCTACTAGTAACAGGTGCCTCGCTACTAGTAACAAGTGCCTTACTAATAGTAACAAGAAGCTTCTAGGAACAAGTGCCTCGCTACTAGTAACAAGCAATAGCATTTGCCCCGCGCCCTTCTGTTGCCTTTGGCAGGACACCTGAGGAGAACTTTCAACGTGCAATGTCCATCCTTGCGGTGGTGCGTCCAGAGATTGAGCTTTTGGACTCGACCCAGCTGTTTGACACCACCATGGCAGAGTGGGTCAGGATTGGAGCATGCAGATGCAACCTTCTGAAAACCCACCGCGCATGCAGTTGAATGCTGTCCACCCACTGTTCAATAAGCCTTTTCCAAGTTCAAACCAAAAACACGAAGCCAGACAGAAGGATAAAGATCTGTACGACGGCTGACTGCCTGACTGCCCAGGATTTTCTCGAATGAAGGGTCCATGAAGGTGGGAATGGATCGAACTTGGACGTATATAATTCTACTGCATTCTGCATTCTACCTTTTTCCTCAGCGCTGCAGGCTTCAAGCAAACTACTAGCTCTGAGTTTTGCTTCTACTGTAGCGCTTTGGTGATACTTTTCTGATGGTTTCAATCTACAATGCTTTTGCAAGGTCCTCCTGACACAGCAGGAGGCGAGAGTAGTTGCCAAGCACCTGCGCCGCTTGATGGGGAGCCTTGGTGTATAATTGAGGGGGTAGAAAGATACATTTCACGATTCAAACCTCCGATATTGGTTTTAAATTGGTTTTAATCAGGTCACGGTTTTCCAACCTTTTTGTAATGGTGACAGTACACTTTCTCTTTCAATTCAGGACCTGGACAAGATGCTTGGCTTTTGTCCGTGACATATATATATATATATATACGTGTATCTTTGCGCATTCTGAGGAATCCAGTGAACACCTTTGTTCATGATGGTGTGAAAGCTCAACTTGTGCTTTGGCTTGAACTTTTTGTCGAGTGATGCCATGACACCGAGCACCTGATCTCAAACCATTTTGGTATGAATATATGCAACCCCCCCGAATGAGGTGAGTGCAACGCATAACGCATTGTGAGTCCAACGCATTGCTTGCCATGCTGGTTTTCTGAATGTGAACTTTTTCAGGTTTGGGTCGCCGGGAGCGGCTTGACGGCGCTCCCGGAAATGTGAGCACAACCAGCACAGATTTGTGGGATTGCAACTTGCAACCTCAACACTTCATGACATTGGCAAGTCTACACGTTACCCGCTGCATTCCATGTCTTGGTTCTTTTTGGACAATATCTCTTTTGATATGCAACAGTCCAGGAAGCGAATCTGAGGGTTTGCTAATGAATCAGCGGAAGTGGTGTTGGATGTGCATCCAGTGAGTTTCCATCATTGGTTCTTGGCATTCACCCTTGCAAGGATGAGGTGCAGTCTGGTGCTGGACCTTGAGCGGATCATTCAGTTAGGCACACATTGTAATCATTCAGTTAGGTACGCAGCACCAGTAGGCGCAACCGTTAGACTTTGTCCATTTTGACATGGCCATGGGTCAGCAGCAGCTCATCGGGCTACGGGAATGCTGACGGCGTTCCTCTGCTGAAGTGGCATTAGCTGATACCATATCGCACTTCATCCAACACCTTCTCAGCTCGCGTGCACATATGCAGTGAGTGAAGGATCGATGTTCCATTCACACTTGCCTCCAATTGTTGATTCGCCGATTCATTCACACAAGGCCTTTGTCTCTACCGTTTTCCTTTTTACAATTTAACTCCAATACAATTAGTAAATTGCTTTTCTCAAACTCGAGGTTCCAGCTTGCTTTGGATGTTTTAGCTTGCTCAGATGCTTGGCGAGAGCACTCAAGAGCATGGGTACAATAGACAAGCTACTACAACAATGTGTGATATGCAGGTATGTTACCGGTGTTGGCTACTGCCTTTGTGATGTTTATCGCAAATTCGCCCATGTCACATGTCTTTGTGGTGTTCCATGGTGAGTTAAAATCCAGTCGCGCAGGCTTTTTCCACACTGGAGAAACAGCTCATTTACGATTGTCACAAAGAAGGTGGTCTTTGCTTGCAGCAGGCT